TTCATAATGATATTTTAGCTATGGTTAACGGTACCCAACATTGTATCGTTTTCAATGCAGCATATTCACCCGAACTCAATCCTATTGAGAATGTTTTCGGTTTTTGGAAGCGAAGAACCGAGGAAAGCATCAGAAATTGGGAAAATCTTCAAGACATGATTGAAAAAATAAAAAAATCATTTGAAGAAATTCAAGCACATGAAATCAACGCGTCAATGCAGCGGTGCAGAAATGAAATATGGCGACGAGCTTTTGCAAGAGAAGATTTATAATTTTTTATTGTTGGCTTTTTGTTAAAGATATTTTAAGTTCAATAAACAAACAACTATTCATTGTTTTGTTATAATTATTTAAATAAAAATTTACTATAATTGATTTGGTGACGAAATAATTAAAAAATAAGTGAATTAATTATAAATGCAGAATATATTTATTAATGTTCCGACTGATTTATTTTCGTGCCGTTTGATTTATTTGTAAAACTCGAATTATTTTGTTTCCAATCTTTTTTTCTCTTTTTCCGTTTGTTTTATTTAAAGTGTTTATACAATTTATTATAATTTCCGAATTAATAAAAATTATGAAAACAGTTTTATTAAAATGCATAAAAAATTATTTAAAATGCCGGGTAAAGGATCTAAAGTGAATACCACTGTAAATAAAAAATAAAATCAAATAACATTTAGAAAACATTTTACCATTATTCACCAAAAAATATTAAAAGCGGGTTTTTCCCACCCCTTTATTTCAATAATGAAAATACAGAAGGCTGAAAAATCACTTGACAAAGAAAATAGGGATGACAAAATTCTATTTTTAATTTTCAGAGTAATTTTTATTAAGGTTTGAGAACCATCATTAGGTGATTTTGTTTACATTTCTCGAATAAATTAATTCAGTTATTTTACCATAAACTTGGTTTTGCTATATGTAGTAATATGAGTAATAATTATAACGGTAATGCTTGAAATAAAAAACATAAAAAAATATTTAAAAAAATAACATAAAAAAATTATTATCCAATAAAAACTGTTGTTATATTCTTTCTTTTTAGACATGATATTGACCAAGCTTGAGATATCATGTCTATTCAGTTCATAACCGAATAATTTGAATTTGAAATGTGTTCAAAACTCTCCAAAAGTGGAGTGAAAAAAACCATGCCAAGATGGAGAGGAAATTATGAAAGCCACAGAAGAAATAAAACCCAAAGCAACAAAGAAGTCATAATTTACAGAAAAATTTGTTTAGAATGCGGGAAATGTTCTTTTGTGTTTTGTGAAGATTCGTTATTCTTTAAATTATCTTCGGGAAGAGAGCACGTTGAGGTAATTGTTTCTACTTTATAAAGTGAAAGCTTTGTGACATTATGAGCACTTGCCGTGCTTTTAGAAACACACCAGAAGTCGTCCAATTAAAGAGTTTAGTGCGTTTCAAACATATTTTTCAAATTCAGCAAACATTAAACGATACTTTATTCTGCCCGATGAAATAGCGACAGTTTCCGTATCTGATATGGAAAGGAAGAGTAAAAAAGCTTTTTCTTCCATTGAAACTTCGGTGTTGGTCAGTCACATCAATGAATTGTTATAGCAAATTGAGTTATCGGGAAACTCGGGGTAATACATTCCATTCAAAAAATTCAAATTGCCAATATTTATAACAACTTCCATGTATTATACCATAGAAATCACCAAGTCTCCGGCAGTCCTGTTGACACGCTTTAACAGAGTCTCGGGCCTTTCACATTCATAATTGTTGAATTGGAGGAGATCCAGAACTGAATTATTTGAAGAGATGTTTTTTAATCAAGTTCAGTTCCATTTTTGTTTTCAGAAAAAATAAAACGCTGTTTTTAGTCTTTGTCAATCAATTTCTAATAATAAAAATTGATTGAGTGGTAATTTCCGAAAAAACAAACCAAAAACAACTCACCAAAAATCATTATTAAGGCATTTTGGCCAATCATGTTTCTGTCAATCAATTTATTCTTTGTCGAGTAATTATTCTGCATCCTGTAGTTGATAATGAATTATCAAAGGAATTAATAAGCTGTTTAAACGATGATGAATTATTTAAATTGAACAATAACCAAATAGGAGTGTTAACAACAGTAAAAAACACAAGTGATTACTCCTTACGACTTTTTAATTAATTCTTGTTCGAGACAACAACAAGTGTGGTTTATAACAACCGAATACAAACAATGGAATAACACAAACAAAAAATTATTATGACCACTTTTGATTTGAAAAGCTTGAGTACTCTTTTTAAAGTATCACTGTGTTGATTGTCGCAGCTCAAAGATGTTGGAATAAACAAAAAAATGGAATACAAAAAAGCGTCGGTGGACAAAGTTTACTTTCAAATCAACAAGAAAACCAACTTAAAGAAATGATAATCAATCGATTGAAGTTTGGTAAGGCATTAACTGCAACACTTATAAAAATATATATTGAAAAGTGTTTTGGTATAACTTATACAAAACAAGGAATATACAACAAAATGAATCATTTGGGATTCAAATTAGTCAAAGCTGTTGTTGTGGAAAAAAGTAGATAAGGAGTTACACACGAAGCGATTGTTGATTATTTTCAACGTGTCGATTCAACAATTGAAGGAATACCAGCAAACTTTATTTTTAATATGGATGAGTGTGGACACCAGGAATTTATTGATACACGAAATTTTAATATGTTTATTACACTTAATGTCAAGTTGGATAAAGTTCGCTGTGCAGCCGACAAGTCAATCAAGAAAATTACCCATACTGCTTGTATTAATGCAAGAGGTTATCGGTTAAAACCAACTTTCATTATCCCAAAAAGACATATTAGTTCATGTTTAAATCAACATGGTTATGATGAGACTAATTGTCATTTTATGTTTGGAAAAAAAGTACTTTGACTAATACACTTTTCAAAGAATGGGTCGATGACGTGTTTATTTTTAAAATTAACAAACTCCGCACTATTCACAATTACAAAGGAACGGTGATTTTGTTTTTGGACAACTGTAGTAGCCACAATGACAAAAGTGTCATCGACAATCTTGCCAAAAACAACATTCGAGTAATTCACTTTATTCCGAACACAACAAACTTTTTTTCAAATGCGCGACGTTGGAATATTTGGAAACCAGAAAAGTCACCGAGCACGTACAAATATTTTGGAAATGAACATTGATGAAGTCTAAACCAAACAATCAACACCATCATCTTTACCAGTAATTTTGTCAGATGGAACTGATTATTTGAAAACTAAACAATAAGAACTTAACTGGCTGAAACCTGATTATTCCAAAAATATATGCGATAAAACAGAGTTTTATTTAAATTATAAAAAAACGATTTTATAATTGAAAATATAAAATGAAATCAACAATTGGTTACTAGGTACAGGCAAGAATCATTTGTTGATGACTTAGTTAACCAAAGGAGGTTGAACAAATAACCAAAGATAATTATTGAAATTTTAGTCAGTTATGAAAATCCACCACCAATGTTATCAGCGCATTCAAATAAGTAGGTATTGATGTTATTAGATGTTGTAATGGTAATTACTACTGCCTTTGTAACCCCCTTCTTGCCCGGGAACTATATAGACGAGGAGATATTGTCAGAGCACTTGTCAACTTCCCAGTGCGTCAATCAGAATCAGTTCAAAATAAAATTCGAGTTGATTCTGGAGATAAAAAAAATGATTGAAGAAATTGAATCCAAGAATAAACTAAAATTAGAAAAGAAAGAAAAAAGAACTGAAAAGAAATTAAAAAAAAGTCAAGTCAATTGACAAGAAAGAAGAAAAGAAGTTGAAAATTGAAAAAAAACGAAATCAAAGAAACAAAACCGATTGATTAAAAATATCAAGCTTTTTTCAAGTAAAAAAGAGACAAAGAGAGACCAAATTTCAAAAAAGACAAATCAACAAGTTTATTAATTAATTATTTTTAACTACTGATAAATAAAATATTATCCTGTCTGATTGTAAAATGATAACACTTGACTGGTTGAATGACAAGAGAATTGATAAATTTATTGATAGTATTCAGTCCGATTTAAACAACAACGTCGAATGTTTAACATGCATTGGCATTGAACTGATTACTCGTAGGGACGTTAATTATTCTCCAAAATTTTGTATTGTTGGTATACCTATTTATATTTATACATGGAAACTACTGGGCGTTGTTCTTGTTGTTTAAGACAAGCAATGGCTGGAGTGCTTTGTATTATGATTCTTTGTTGATCAATGTACAAGAAGACAATACTTTGCCAAGTGACTTTCCAAAACAAAGATTGGAATTTATCCAAAGATCTTTTGGTGATATTAAGTTGTTGAAGTATCAAGCTCCAAAACAAAGGGGGTCTTGGGAATGTGGTTATAGAATAATGTGGGTGTTGAACAAACTGGCAAAAGGTAACTCACTTGAAAACTCTTTGATTTATGATGAAGTGGAATTTATGGAATTTGCTTTGTGGTTTGTAAAGTTTAGTTAATTGATGGTTTTTTACTGGTTTATTTGTGATTTGAGTTTTCCATGATTATTATTTTTTAATAATTTAAATAACTAATGTTTATAATTCACAAATTGACAATTTGGTAGCAAAAATAAAAAATGTCCATATTTATTATAAAAAAGGACAATTTCAGCTTGTTTATCTAGGGCTTTATTGAGAACGACTGTTTTAGCCAATTAAAACAAGATTTATAAAAAGAAAAAACCCTTTTATTTAGTATTCAATTGAAAATTTATACCTTCACTTCACTGCCTGTATATATAAATATTGTTTGTATTTTTTATAATAATCATTTTATTATTAAATGTTTGACATATAAAATGTGTTTGTTCTATAAAAAGTTGTGCTTAGAACATATAAAATCAAGTATGTATTACAATAACTAACTATATAATATAAACAATATACATCAAACTTAAAATAATTCATATAATTTTTATTTTTTATACATTAACTATCTTACATAATAACTAAAATGATATCAAATTGAATTATACTTTTTCTTTTTAATTAACAAGAATATAATAAGCCCAACTATGCCAAACAACACTGATGCCGCATAAATGCAGCAAATTATTGAAAGTGTGACAAAAGATGCACTTACTACTTCATCTTTGTTATATTTACCAGATACGAGTTCATTATCAACATCAATATAAAAGTCTCCTTGAATGGTATAATAATACTTGTTGTTGATGTGTGTATTGGTAAAGCAAACATTAAAGAAGTCGATGTGTTCGTTGTCTTCGACTTCAGTATAAATACTCGCATCGACAAAGTTTGAATTTTCGAAAGTGACATTTTCGACCTTTCGAATCTCCAATATCGTATTTTGAAAATCAAAATCCGAGAAAATCGAATCACTCAATTTGTATATGTCAAAGTACGTATCTATCACCTCAAAGTGGTCTAAAACCGCTTTCTCCATTGTTAAATATCTACACAACAAATTTTCGATTTCGACGTCATAGGCAATGAACTCATCGATGTTGAGATAGTCAATTTTGCCATTGCAAATCGAGTGTGTGTATCCTTTTTGTTGAATTGTAGTTCTTTAACGTCCCAATTATATCCATAAAAATCACTGGTTTTGTATTCGTCAATGTGTATTTGTTGTGCCAATAAGCTTTTAATTTGTAAAATAGAAAGTGTCATATTGTATTCGTCGTTTTCCTTAAAAAAGAATTTTTCAATTGTCTAATTGTTCGACTTAAAAATCGATTTTGCATTGTGTTCGAAAACAAAGTCTAAGATGTTTGTGTTCAAAATCGAAAAAGACGGGACGTCAGAATTTTTTATGTTGAAAAAAAGACGAGTTAACATTGTCAACAACTAAATTCAAAATTGACTCTCCAACAACAGAAAAAGAAAACGGAGAGTCACCAAATTGAACACATTTAAAATATTTGTCGAAGTTTGTTGGTGAAGTGACTAAACTTACGTCTGTAGAACAGTTGTATAAATAATAAACGGGTTTTGTATTTAAAGGATAACTGTATACTGATAGTTGAAAAAGAAACAAAATCAAAAACATATTAATTTCAGTTCGTTTTTCAATTTTTTGATTCGGTATTGTTAAATTTGGTGATTATCGTGATTTTAATTCAAATCAAATTATAAAGTCAGTTTGAAAACTTTGTCCGCTCTCCAACGTTGTCCAGGTATTTTTGGACCATTAAAACTTAAATGTTTCGGGAAACAATTCGAAACATTACCTAAACATTGTTTTCTAATTTTTACCGGGATTTGATCGTTTTTTTCTTAATTCCCTTTTTTCACTTTATTTTGTGTAAAATTTTGTCAAATGGACAACGTTTTTGGATAGACTTTAATAATATAAAAATTGTATAAATTGGATTAATAAAAAAATATGTTTTTCATTAAATATATCAATAATAATTAATAATATTATATTTTATTAAAAACATTGTTAATACACATCAAAGTCTCCAAAAACACAAAAAAATTTTAAATGATCAACAACGCAATTTTTAAAAATGTGCTGGAAAGGTTCCAAGAAACAAAGAAAGAGTTGGCAATTGTCATATCACTCGACTATCAAGTCTTCATGGATTAGCTCGAATATTTCGACACAAGACAACAACAAAAATGTGATTTGACGCGGCAGTGTGATGGAAGCATTAAAGTTATTAAAACTTTTTGAAAATGATGTGGATGAATAACTTCGACAGAATTATAAAAAAATACAATTAGACTCGACACAATGTGATTTATCGAAATTTTCGCGTGTTCTGTTGATGCATTTTTATTAAGTCATGTTGATAACAAATACTTTAACGCATTGAAATGATTAATTAATGATATTTTAACAGTTAATTAATATATATAATAAAATTTAAAGTAAGTCACTGTTCTTATATTATGCCAGTTTCAATTATTTGAATGTTGGAACTTAATCGATTGTGATACTTGATATAAATTAATTACGATTTTTTTGATTAATAATATAAAAATATATCACCACGGGGAAGACTATATATATGTTATATCGATCTAAACTGTGTTGAAATATCTCACTTCCTCTCTAGGTTGTTAGATACAATTGAACACCCTTGTTAGCAAAGTTCGGCAATGATTATTTCTTTTGATGTTAGAATAGTATGATATATTATATTTTTAATATTATGGGACTTTATTATCATATTATTATCAGGGTTTCAAACTAGATTCAACTGGTGGCTACCCGTTTTGATTTTAAATATTTTCAGCCAGAATTTGTGTTTGAAACTATTATTTTTAATTTGTTGAATAAATTAATTAGGATTTGTCAACCAGTAGTGAAATAAAACTGGCTACCCACAAAACCGTCCAAACTATACACATTCTAAAATGACGGTAATAAACGATTTAAAGAATGAAGAATAAAAAGTATAGTTTACTGTAGTTTTGAAAAAGCCATTACAAATCTCCATGGTTTTTAATAGTTTTAAAACATAGTAAATTAAATTAATGGTAATAGTTTGTAGTTTGTGTCAAAAAAAATACTTAAGTAAATTATAGTAATAAATGATTATTTATTCAGAAAAGAAACACACAGAAAACAAAAAGACAAAAAACAATATGTTATACCATTGTGTTTTTGATATAATTAATTGTGGTACAATAGTTATGTATCGAAACAATCTCTATCTCGAATAATTTATAAAACATAAATATGAACATTTAATTGTTTGATGTGTTGTGTTTTCATCATAAGACACTACTTGTTTTTTAAGTAATAATCATAACAATTCACTTTGAAATGTTTTTAATTTACTATTCAAAAGAAATAATGTACTATTCGATAAAATCAATCAAATAGTTATATGACATGTACTCAAAATACACACTTAAAAAAATTACTTGAACATAACACTTTAAGAATTTTAAATAATAATGAAAATGTTTATAATATTTGTTATTAACTATTTGTTTTAAATAATAACCATATGATATAATAATGTAATAATAAACAAGACAACTCAAAAACTATTTAACTGTGTTTGGATCGGGTTTATACATATAACTAATTATAAATAATGTATATTTTTTTTAAAAATGAAATAAATTGTTTTTGTGAGTCAAAATAAATTGTTATATTTTGTTCAAGTCAATCCAAAGTTGTAAACAACTTGTATTTAATTTTAAATAAAAACTTTTATTGTTTTTTTATTATCAAATGTGTTGTTAAAAACACAAAGAAAAGAACATAAAAATAAATATATTTATATAGTATTGTTAAACCTTGTAATGTCAATTTATATATTATAATTTTAATATAATAAAACAACGAACTGTCATAATAAATATTTATTATTAAGATTTCAGATCAATTTTTACAATATTTTAGTTATAATAATGCACATATTTAAATTAAGAAATGTATTTAAATATTATTATGTTTTATTTGATATACTGATTCAACTTTAATAAATACAATGAAACAGATGTTACTTCAAATTATGAACAAGTTAAATAATATATCACACTCGAACACAAAATGTAATGACAATATTTATTATTTTACTTAATTCCAATGACATTTTTCTATTATTTATTTATGCTATTCAACAAACAAGTGTTCTCAAAAATTTATTTGTTTTATTTTTCTATAATTTTTAGTTTAAATATTTAAATTTTTTTATATTTGTTTTTTTTCTGGTAATAATTTGTTATTTAGAAACACTGGTCCTATTATTTGAATAAAATGTATAAAGTAAAGTTTTAAAATTTTTATTCAAAAACCTTCTCAAAACAGCATATATTTTTTTTAATTTTTATGATTATTTTCTTAAAATTGAGTAAAAAAAATCTTTTGTAAATAAGATTATTTATTTTATTTTTAAAAGAAAAAATGCCATTTTTTATATTTCAAAAAAACGGTTATTTAATTGAGGTTTGCAGCATTGACAATATATTGTATTGTGTGTTTTTTTATATATCATCACCTAAAATAATGTTTTAATAATTAATTTATGTTGCTTATTTATTTATTATTATTTTATTTACTATAAACAAGTAAAATAGTAAAATAAATCAGTTAAGTTGGAAGACAACAACACTTTTTGGTTTAAAATTGCCATTATTTGTTAAATCGTTTGATTTGGCAATGTATGTAAACGGTTTGCAACAACTTTCATTTTGATCTTTTTTTGCAGACGTTTATATCATTGCCACTGAATGAAAAAAGGTGTGTATTGTCTTGAGAATGAAGATAAAATCCAAAATAGTTAATTCCAGTCTTCCCAAACTTTCTTGGATCCAAAATGCCGTTTCTTACAAGCGAAAATACATAAGAATTGCCATCATTAGATTTATATTTACTAATAGCGTCGATATTATTAGTAAACACGCCACCAAATTTGTTGTGATTTGTGTCTTCTACTAAAAAGCACAAATTGCTTTTGTTAATGACTTTTGCATCAAAAACTGAATTGTTTACTGACCAGTCGTCTTTGTCCGAGTCAAAAATTACATTTCCAATCTTCTTTCCTGTTAACTTTTCAAGACTGTCTTTTTCTTCAATTGTGATGTGTTCGCGCTTCAATTTCTCAAATTCTTCTTGTTCTTTGTGTTGTCTTTTTGAATTGATGAATTTTTCTGATTTTACTATTTGATCAATTTTAGTGTTTTTGATTTGTACAATATTGTTGATTTGGTCTTCATATGGTTTTGTGTCAATTTTGCATTTTTCCTCAAGAAGGGCAATTCTGACATTCCATATCTCATACAACTTCTCGTTGTCATTTTTGTTGAATATGAGCCAATTCACTTTTGATTTTGTTCGAAGCGTTGTTCAAATCAATAACAATTATGTTGAGTGAGGTTGTGATGTTATTTTTTCTTATAATAATTTTATCAAGTTTGTCAAAGCAAATAAATCTGATTATATAATTTAAAATACTCCAATATTGAGTGGTTGGCGTAAATGAAACGTGTGTAGTGCCAGCAATATTATCATTATATTGTCAATTACATATAATTGCCTCATTTGGTCATTCTTGTGACATGAACAACCATCAATTATCAATGCCGCTTTTCCATTAAACTCCAAATTGAATTTTCAATTCATTCCTTTTTCTAATTACAAAAAAATAAAATCGTCAGTAAGCCACGTTAACTTTTATCTGTTATTGTCATGATAGCTTACACACCATTTTATAATTATTATAATTGAATTGTAAACCAACTAATTTAAACAATTCGGTTAAAATAAATATTTCCAATTCTACCTTAATTATTAAAGAATTTTCTGAAATTCTACGAAAATGTTAAAACACCAAGTATACATGATAAATTTCCGAAATGTAATACGATTGCATCCTATTTTCAATTTGATACAACTGATTTTTATTAATCACGATGTATTAATACGACTGATTACATTTCTATTTCTAATTATTTGAGTTTAAACAAACAAATATTAAC